TATCTTCAATGGGGGCCATGCAGGAGGCGACCAAGTGATGTTCTCGCTCATCAATGTTTCCATCTCTCTCTCCTTCTCACTTCCTCTCTCCCTAAAATCAATTAAGGAAAAAAAATTTTTCTATGTAGTGTGTGTATATGTGAATGGACAGATAGAACGAGATTCGCCTGATTAGCACATGGGGGTTCATTATACTAATCTTTTTACTATTAAGTATGTTTGAAAATTTTTATAATGAAAAATTAAAACATGCATGTATGCTACCTTCCCGTGGAACTCTGCATTTGGGGGAAGGTTCAAAGTTAGGGAAATGTTAAAGTTACTCCCATCTCCAGAGCGAGGAATCCTTCTGGTAGATTCATGGCCATGAAGAAGCTAGTGGGTGGGAGAAGACCCATGTTCACCACTCCAGAGCCTTCAGGAGGTGACCACCATCTCCTGCCTGCTTTGGGTTCAAGGTTAAGTCTCCCACTTCTCTATCTGCCATGACAATCTACTTGTGACAGTACCTTTGGTCGGGTGGGAAGGGCGGCTGAGCTCTGCACCTTGCCAACAGTCCAGGAAGAGGACAAAGAAGAGGGTCTCTGCTCCTCTCACCTTTGCCATGGTCTGTGACCATCAGAGAGAAGCGAATCTCCTAAAATCCTCAGACAAAACAGCCTTGAGCTCTGCTGTGGAACCTGACAGTCTGTGAAGTCACATCGGAACCAAGGTGGGGCAATTCTACAGTGGGAAGGTGTAGACAGGGACAGGAGGGGACCTGGTGGCTCTGCAATGCCTTCCTCCATCCTGCGTGCACTGTTGCCTGAAGGAGGTAGGTTGCAAGTGACAAAAACTCTACTAAATCAGCTCAAGTGGATTGTAAGTGGCTAGAACTGTAAAACCTTCAGGCAAATTAAGATATCACATGAAGTATTGTTATTTATTGCATTACATAAAATTATAACACTGAAAATATTATAAACAAAAGCATTAGTTGATGTCAGTCATATATCACTATTTTCTCTATTATGTTTTATTAGTATTAAACTACTTCCAGAGGAAAAATCTTTATATTTTAGCACCTTTAACTGCACTTTTTCTCTGCATTTTTATTTTGCATTGGGTCCCACAAATTATATAGCTGGCCCTGGCCTTTTGCCCTGCTGTTCACACTGGATGCAATAGGGAGATGGACAAGATCACTCGGGGCAAAAAGTTGCACAGAAAGTTATATCGTTGAGTTCTGAGTAGCTCAGGAGTATTCTTTTGCTGGGGCTGCCGTAACAAAGTACCACAAAATGGGGGGGGGGGGGGCAGGGGGACTGAAACAACATAAATCTATTACAGTTCTGGAGGCCCGAGGTCTAGGATCAAGGTGTCAGCAGGGTCGGTTCCTTCTGAGATCTCTCTCCTTAGCTTGTAGGTGGCCATCTTCTCCTCGTGTCTTCACATCGTCTTCCCTCCTTACGCATCTGTGTCCAAAGTTCCCTTTCTTATAAGGACACCAGTCATAGTCAACTAAGGCCATCCTAATGACCTCATTTAACCATAACCACCTCTGTAAAGACATGCCAAATAAAGCCACATTCTGAGACTTCAACACAGATTTAGGGGTGGGAGGTGGAACACAATTCAACTCATAACATTAGGTAATGGCAGCATCATAAGTCTTATTTCTCAAAAATATCTTCAAAAAAGTAGGAACATATAAAACAACCCCAAACTCACACCCTCAGCATAACTAGGAGGGGGTGGCATCAGGCACAGCATTCTATCATCTCTGTCTTTCTTTCAGGGTCTGTTTCCCGGGGAAGTCCCCAAAGACCCCCTCCTCTGGGTTCCTCCACATGTGCTAAGAACTTACCTACATTGGTGCATTTTGTCTTGTCAACAAAAGGTCACTGCCACCAATCCATTGTCAACTGGAATCCCCAGTCTGGAATGCATTATTCACGGAAATGGAGCAAACAGCAGTATCCGCTGAAAATCAAAAGTGTGCTCCCTGGAGGTAAAGCAGAGGCCCACTTACATAGAGAAAGTTCCTGCCCTGATATCTGATTGGTCCATTTTATGCAAATTGAGGCTATAACTGCTCAGCTCCAACTGGACAGGGCTGGTCTCAACCCATTGGTCAAAATGCCATCCCAGGAAGTCCTTTATAAGGGTGGGTTTAATCAGAGGCACACAGTGCAGGAGTCTCAGCGGCCCGCTCTGTGGCTTTTCCCTGAAATGCAGCCTGAGTAAGTAAGGGCTGCTAGACTGCCTATGAATTTGGGCCCAGTGAACCACAGGAGTCCTTTTTGACAGGTATAATCTTTCTCAGGGTAAATCATCTCTGCTAGTAAAGTGTGTGTAAATAACAGTTACTGAGACTGACAAATTCAAAGGAATCTAAGGGCTAGGGCAGCGGTTATCAATCTGTGAGTCGGGATCCCTTTGGGGGTTGAATGACCCTTTCACAGGGGTTGCCTAAGACCATCGGAAAACATATTTCCAATGGTCTTAGGAACCGAGACACCGCTCCTCTATCTGTCTCCAGGCGGGTCCACCCACATGCAGATCCACCCACATACAACATGAGGAACTGTATTAAAGGGTCGCAGCATTAGGAAGGTTGAGAACCACTGTGCTAGGGTGACATTCAGGTGAGAAAAGAAGATGCTGTCTGGGAGATGCTGAGAGAATGGCTCAAAGGAGCAGGAGGGAGTGGTGGGTCCTTTGGGTTTGAGGGACTCTCTCCCACACTATCATTGTCTTACCCACCTTCCTCTCTCCCTCTCTGTTTCTTTCTCCCTCCAAAGGAAGGTTTCTGAGCTCCTCCTATTTCTAGTTATCTCAGAGAACAATTGATGAGCCTGCCCTCCTGCCTCTGTCCCTGGGTTTGCTCTATAGCCTTCAACAACACGTACCTTTGGGCCCTTTTTCAGCCACTTCTCTACCCAATACTGTTATCCTTGTTGTCTAGTGTTCATGAAATTTCTTCAGAGCCAGGACCCTGGCCTTCTTTTATAAATGTTTGTTATGCAGACACCTTTTAACTTCAGTATTTTATTTATTGTTTATCGTCACCCGAGGACATTTTTCCATATTTTGTTCAGATAGAGTGGGAGGGAGGGGGAGAGAGAGAGAGAGAGAGAGAAACATCGACGTGAAAGGGACACATTGAGTGGTTGCCACCCGCACTACCCAACCAGGGCCAGGGACAAACTGCAACCTTGTACACGTAAATGGTTAAGACGAAATATTATATGTTATATATATTTTAGCACAATAAAAAATGATAAAAGCAATATATACATAAACAAGTTAAAAGCAATTCAATACAAAAGTTTATATTGTAGCTCAGCCGGTGTGGCTCAGTGGTTGAGTGTCCACCCATGCACCAAGAGGTCACTGGTTCAATTCCCAGTCAGGGCACATGCCCAGGTTGTGGGCCCAATCCCCAGTGCGTGCATGCAGGAGGTGGCTAATTGTTGTTCTCTCTCATCAATGTTTCTATCTCTCTCCTTCTTCCTTCCTCTTTCTTTCAAATCAATAAAAAAAAATTTTTTTTTTAAGTTTATACTGTAATAGAATTCTCCCCTCATTCACCCACATCTACCAATGGTCCCTTTCTCATATTAAAGAATCTTTTTTTTTTACTTTATTGATTTTTTTTTTTTTTTTTTTTTTTTTTTTTTTTTTAGAGAGAGAGAGGGGAACGGAGAGGGAGAGAGAGATAGAAACATCGATGAAAGAGAAAATTGATTGGTTGCCTCCAGCATGCCCCCCGACTGGGGATCTGGCCCACAACCTAGGCATGTGCCCTGACCAGGAATCGAACCAGCGACCTCTTGGTGCATGGGTCAATGTTCAACCACTGAGCCACACCAGGAGGGCCTCATATTAAAGAATCTTGAAGGTGGCTCATCTCCAGAGCCACTCACACATAAAACATTCTGGACACTGTGTCTGGCTTTCTTTGCTTTGATTTAGCAATATGTCCTGATGTGCTTCATATCAGATTACATAGAACTCCCATCTTAATTTAACCGGCTGCATGCACACAGACCCGTTTTATGAATGCATAGACACTGGATACAAATGAATACACGCCTATGATTCCATTTGCACTAAGTTCTGAAATAGGCAAAACTAACTTGTGGTGTTCAATTCAGGAGGGTGGTCACTTGGGCGCAGAAGCAGGGCAGTGACTACTGGTAGGCTACTGAAGTACTGTCACGCCGTTTAAGCTCAGTGATGGCTACATGTGTGTCCACATTGTAACACTGCACTGAATGTACACTTATGATTTCTGCACTTTTCTGTCTGATGGTCTCCAATTTCACCACGTTAAATGTCACAATCTAGCGGGAAAGGTAGATATAGAGACAGATCACTATGGCTCAGTTTGGTAAGTGAATTCAGGACTGTTACAGCCGTTGACTCCAGGGAGGCTGGAGGCTGCCCACGTGCTAATCCCAGGTGTTGCTAGCTCCATTCGCTTGGGCAGGCTCCTCATAGCCCATACCTGTAAAATGAGAATAATAACACAACCTGGTAGAGTTATTGTCCGATTTAATATAATCTATACACAATGGGTACAGGTGCTCCGCAAGCACCAGAGTAGATGCTGGATAAACACCAGCTAGCAAGTTACCACTAAATTGTAATTGTTACAAGGGAAAGGACCCTCCTCAGAGCTCGATAAATGCTTTGGGTATAATAGCCAGCGCCAGCCTCCTCGGGGACTGCGCGGTCACGAAGCAGCGTGGTCCGAGGCGCTGGGGGTCGGGCTGACATCTTCCAGGACTGTGGCCTCACGCCCGCCCTACTTCACCCGCGTCCCCTTTAAGAGCGAGGCCATGGCGTCATCTCCACACGGCGCAGCCTACCTGGAAGCGTCCGTCAGTTCTTCCGGGAGACTGCAATTGGTTGGCCAGCGCTCGGCGACCCCGCCCCTCTGCCCGCAGCCGTCCCTGGGCGCTGGCGGTCAATCCGCCAGGTGGGAGCGGTGATTGGCTGCGGGCGCGCCCTCGGGAGAGGCTCGCGTAGGCTGCACGCCCGGGGTGGGAGGGACACGGCGCCGCGTCTGGAGCCGTCGCAGTCTGGTCGGTCCGTCCGCCCGCCCGCCGGTCCTTCCAGCCGCCTGCCTGCTGGGCAGGGCCGGCCCGGCCATGGAGTCCTACGACATCATCGCCAACCAGCCGGTGGTCATCGACAACGTGAGGCCCAGCCGCCGGGGGGAAGGCGGGCGCCCCGCCCCCGGATCGCACGCGGCGGCGCCGGGAGGGACACCGCCCGTCTGGGCCCGTCCTCCGCGCGCTGCCCGCCCGGGGCCCGCGCGCCTCCTGGCCCGGGAGCCGGGCCTTGGGGCCAGCCCCCCGCCCGCGCCGCGGAGCCCCAGCCCGGCACGAGTGCGGTCACTGGGCAGGTTCCGACCTCAGCCCCTTTACCCCTTCCTTTCGGGCTGTGGTTCTGTCTGCCCCTTTGCACACTGCTGGCCTCATCCTTTGCAGAGGTTTGGCCTGGGGACCTTTACAACAGCGCTTCCCAGGGCTGCACCCCCAGGCTGGACCTTCTGAGTGAACAGGCCCTACTGCCCTCTTTTCCTGGGACTGGGAGAAATGCGAGTTCCCCTCTGCCAGCCACAAATGCACCACCAACCACCTGGTTGGCTGCGTGCCTGATTTGACCCTCTCATGAAGTGCTCCTTGTGCGGAGCAGAACTGCCACGGCTGGCAAGGCACGGAGAGAGTTCAGGACCCTGCTTCCCAGGACCCACAAACAGTTGGGGATAATAGTTTGGCAGCCTCAGGGAAAGATGCCTGGCTTCCTTGTGACCTTGTCCTACAGCGCTGGGGCTCAGCATGCTGTCCGATGCCCTCTGAGGATTTCTGGTCCATAGGAAGAAAATGAATGGCCCTGGGTTTCTGCCTCTGGTGTGTGAGCTCTGGAGTTTTTGATAATGACTCCCTTCTCTTTTGGGGATCTGTCTCCCTCCCACATGACTCCCAGGTCATCCCTGAGTGGCTCTTTTTTGGATTATCCACGTGGGCTCCCTGAGCCACAGCAAGGGATGTTTAATAAGAAGGCTAGAACTGGGCTTGGGGATGCTGTCCAACAGGCTACTGGAAGGACCTGGCCACTTCCCTTCTTGGCGGGCAAATAATTCATTTAGGCTAGTCAACAAGCTTCTGAGTTCAGAAGGCCACATACATAATCCCTCTGGGTTTCTGGTTGCTCTGTAACTTGGGGGTGTTTATTCCTGCGTTGCAGACCCAAAGTGTTGTGATGATCTGTGTGAAGAGGGGTGGGTAAGGGGTTCTAGATGCCAGGTCCAGGCTGAAGCAGTGGCAACACGAGTTCTTTGTCTGCAGTCTTTAGGAAAACCACTGGGGAGGTGCCGGTTTCACTGGCACCCAGTGGCCTTTCCCGTGGTCCGGTCTATTGGGAGCAGGGAGGCCAGGGGCTGTTGGAAAAAACTATGCTTAGGGGTTGCTTCTGCTGGCTTTCAGGAGTAGTTTTGCTCTGGATCCCTCTTGCCCGGAGCTGACCCTGGAGTGTGTGAAGGTGGATGAACTCTCAAGTCTCCAGTTGGCATTCTGGGCTGGATAATTCTTGCTTGGGAGGGGCTGCTTGTGCACCAAGGGGTGTTTAGCAGTGTCCCTGGCCTCTATCCACTAGATGCTAGTAGCATCCCCTACATACATAGTCAAACTTGGGGGAAGGAGTGCAGAATTGCCCCCACACACATACACACACATTGCTTTGAGTTTCTCGTGTATTTGTAAATGAACTTGCTTTCTGGGCAGGATCCCAACTTTCTCCCTCTCTCCACTGTAGGGCACTGCCTTAATTTGGAGGTGAATGCAGGCAGCTAAACATTGTTTTTCCTTGCAGGGTTCTGGGGTAATCAAGGCTGGCTTTGCAGGAGATCAGATTCCCAAATACTGTTTCCCAAACTAGTAAGTGTTGTTCAGGCAGCAGCCCTAATCCTTTTGTTTGCTTCCCAGAAGAACAGTGGTCCTGTGTCTTTGAGGCCCACCTTGTCCCCCATGTGTAGAAGACACCAGATTTGTGAGGCTGACACTGTTGAGGTCTCTGGAAGGAGCAGACAGCTGCTCTGGGCTTCCCCCTCCTCTCTGGAGTCTGATTTTGGTACCTCATTGAGCCAGGGAGGAGAAGCTGCCAGCATTCCCCTCGGGACAGGGCGTGGCGGGAACAGCGAGAGTAAAAGGGAGAAGTTTTTCAGAGAAAGACCTGAACTCAGAGGAAAAAGAGTGGGGAATTAGTGCACAGCCTCCTCTTCCTTCTAGGAGAGGTTTTCTTAGGGGCTTGTTTATTTTAGACTCTAGAAAATAATTTATTTCACTCCAGAGGGTCTTTCCCTGAATGGTTCCAATGGTAGCAGGGGTCAGATGAGGTGAAACCTGGAGAAAGCCTGGGGTATACCTTTGGCTACTCCAGCCCATTGGGAAGTTTTCCCTCAGTCGTGTCACCTCACAAATCCTGGAGGGTTTAGAGTGATTAGCTTAAGCCTGGGAGTAGGGCTGGGTCCTGGATCCCCTGAAGTGGCTGCCTTTGCCAAGACCCCAGGCCTGGTCTGAAGATGAGCCAGTAGGGTCCAGCTTTTCTTTCTGAACCCTACTTGTGTGTAACTAGGTTCCTGGTCTTGTGCAGAGAACTTGGGTCAAATCTTGGAATCTTTTCTGGAAGCCCTGGCAGTGGGTAGGCGCAGGATTGACCGAGTGAAAGGGGGGTACACAGGGAGCCACTCCCCAGCTTCCTGGGGCCATCCTCTCTGGGTGTGCAGATAGTGGTGGCAGCCTTGCCCTTCTTACGTTGGGGCTGAGTCACTGTGGCTGCAGAAGCTGACCCTCTGCCAGGACTGGGCCGTGGAGAGCTGATATTCCAGAGCTAAGCCCTCTATGGGAGGGGTACCTTTTCTTCTGACCCTGAGCCTTCTGTTCTGCTAAGGCCTGCTCTGTGGTCCTATATCCCATAGCCCTGGGTTCTGACCTCTGCCCCATGGCCACATCCTGATGCTTTAGAGTAAGTTACTCTCTTGACCACTGGAATTGGACTTGGTTTTCCAGCCGTGTCCCCTACCCACCTCCTGACTTTACCTGTCCTCGCAGTGTCGGGCGCCCTAAGCACACGCGGGTGATGGCTGGAGCCCTGGAAGGGGACCTCTTCATTGGACCAAAAGCAGAGGTAACGCCTGTGCATTGTCCGGGGTCTTCATAGTCCCAGGAACATGGACTCGGGGGCAGAGCTATACTGCAGAGGCCTCTGGGAATCTGCTCTGGACCACTTGCCAGGTGTCCTCCTGGGCTCTCCAGGCTTTAGCTCTGAAGAACTCTGCCCTATAATGAGGCAGTGGTTCTTGGGGGTGGGGCGCAGTTAGACCACTTCAGGCCCTGTCTTTGGAAGCTGCAGAGGAACGAACTGATTAAAAAGTGACTTAAGCCCTGGCCAGTTTGGCTCAGCGGTTAGAGTGTCAGTCTGCGATCCAGAGAGACCCGGGTTTGGTTCCCGCTAAGGGCACATGCCTCGGTTGCAGTTTGGCCCCGGCCCTGGTTGGGTCGTGCTGGTGGCAGCCACTCGATGTGTCCCTTTCACATCGATGTTTCTCTCTTCCTCTCTCTCCCTCCTGCTCTGTCTGAACAAAAAATAAAGAAAGAAAGCCCTGGCCGGTTTGGCTCAGCGGTTAGAGCGTCGGCCTGCGGCCCGGAGAGACCCGGGTTCGGTTCCCGCTGGGGGCACATGCTTCGGTTGCAGTTTGTCCCCGGCCCTGGTTGGTCATGCGGGTGGCAGCCACTCGATGTGTCCCTTTCACATCGATGTTTCTCACTCTCTCTCCCTTCCTCTCTCTCCCTCCCACTCTATCTGTACAAAAAATGGAAAAATATCCTCGGGTGAGGATAAAAAGAAAGAAAGAAAGAAAGAAAGAAAGAAAGAGAGAGAGAGAGAGAGAGAGAGAGAAAGAGAGAAAGAGAGAAAGAAAGAAAGAGAGAGAAAGAAAGAGAGAGAAAGAAAGAGAGAGAAAAATAAATAAATAAATAAATAAATAAATAAATAAATAAATGAATGGAGGCTTCCACACAGTTGATTACATTAAAAAAAAAAAAAAAAAAAAAAAAGTGACTTAAGAGTCTAAATTAGCCCTGGCCGGTTTGGCTCAGCAGTTAGAGCGTCGGCCTGCGGTCCAGAGAGACCCGGGTTTGGTTCCCGCTAAGGGCATGTACCTCAGTTGCAGTTTGTCCCCGGCCCTGGTTGGGTTGTGTGGGTGGCAACCACTCGATGTGTCCCTTTCACATCGATGTTTCTCTCTCTCTCCCCCTCTCACTCTATCTGAACAAAAAAATGGAAAAATGTCCTTGGGTGAGGATTAAAAAAAAAAGTCTGAATTATCCACACTTGATAACTGATCCCAATGAGAGCTGTGGAGCTACCTCTTGCTCCCCCAGCTGGGGTGACTTGCTAGGGGCCAATGGCCAGAGAGACCCTATGGCGTGAGTGTGGGTGGGAGAATTATAAGCATGTGCAGATTAGGCACCTGAGGAACACAGTGTGTGGTGCCAGGGTCTGGAGGCCTGAGCTGGGGGTACCGATAGGGGCTCTTAGGAGATGAGTCAATAGAGAAAAGAGGCCAGGTGGTGCTTGGAAAGAAGAGACATGCTGTGAGTGACATTGAAGAGCAAGTCCATGCAGGAAATACCAACTGGCTAGGGAGCCGTGAGGGTGGGGGTGATGGTAACCACAGGAGAGGTCTGTACAGGCGCCGAAGGGAGCAGTAACCATGAGCGGTGGAGACAGAAGCTGGGCAGTGTGTGGGGAGAAGGGGAGAACATGCTGGCAGTGAGTATAGAGAAGTATGCTAGGGGAGGAAAGGGAGGGACTGGAGGGTGGGAGGAAGCACATCACCACCCTCCCTTGTCACCGGCTGGCTGGGCTCTGAGAGCCTAAGAGTCTGCCGGAGAGTTGAGCCTACTCTGAGTTCAGGACCTGCCACAGCGCATGGGGACACCCAGTAGCAGTGGTGGTTCTACTTGGGGCAGGTGAAGGGGCAGCTTCCAGGAAGGCAGAGAGCAGTGGCTGGGTGAGGGGCCTGGAGCCACACTGGCCTTTCCACCCCTCCTGCCCAGGAGCACCGGGGGCTGCTGACTCTGCGCTACCCCATGGAGCACGGCGTGGTGCGGGACTGGAATGACATGGAGCGCATCTGGCAGTACGTCTACTCCAAGGACCAGCTGCAGACCTTCTCCGAGGAGGTGTGGAGCCTCCCACAGGCTTGGAATCCCCTCGCTGTGCCCTCCTTGCTGTGCTGCCTGTTGGTCAGGCTCTCACAGTTCCTGCACTTTGATGGGGCCTGCTGCCTCTTCACTTTTGGGGGGTGCACAGCAGTCAGTGGCAGCCAGGCAGAAACTTCCAGAGAGAGTTGGCTCTTTGGAAGACTAACTGCCAGCAGGTGATGAATAGTGTCCCCGAGAAGGACATCCGGCTGCAACCACTTATACTCACAGCTGGGTCGGGGGGCTCTCTGGAAGGATCCTGTAGGCCCTAGCATATGGTCTGTGCACGCGCCCACAACTCTGCCATCTCTTGTAGCATCCTGTTCTTCTAACGGAAGCCCCGCTCAACCCGAGTAAGAACCGGGAGAAGGCGGCAGAGGTGTTCTTTGAGACCTTCAATGTGCCGGCCCTGTTTATCTCCATGCAGGCCGTACTCAGCCTGTGAGTGGTCCCTGAATCCCCATCCTCCCTGGGGCCATCCTCCTGCTCAAAGCGACCAGCTGTCTGACCTTTCTATAGAAACAGCCCCCTGATGATTACTCCTTTAGGGAGTTCCTCATGCCATTGTCCCAGAGTTCCTTCCAGGGGTGGGAGGTCCCATGCCTTACTGGCTGAGGTGAAGGGATGCTGACCTGCTGACAGGTATGCAACAGGACGCACAACAGGAGTGGTTTTAGACGCTGGGGACGGGGTTACCCACGCTGTCCCTATCTACGAGGGCTTTGCCATGCCTCATTCCATCATGCGGGTGGACATTGCCGGCCGTGACATCTCCCGCTACCTCCGGCTGCTGCTGCGCAAAGAAGGCTTTGACTTTCACACTTCAGCTGAGTTTGAGGTGGTGCGGACCATCAAAGAGGTGAGGAAGGTGCAGGAGGGTGTGGAGAAGACCTGGAGGGGAAACAGCAGGGGAAGAGGGCAGGACCAAGGCTTGAAGTTGAGTCCTGGGCGTGAGTGTCCCAGTCACAGCCTTCTGAGGGTGTTTTCCTGCTCTCCACCCCCCTTGCAGAGAACCTGCTACCTGTCCATCAACCCGCAGAAGGATGAGGCTCTGGAGACAGAGAAGGTGCAGTACACCTTGCCGGATGGCAGCGTGCTTGATGTAAGTCGCCAGGCCTGGCCCTGGGTGGCAGGGGTGCTGCTGGGACTGGAGGAGGAAGAAGCCTGTCTGCCTCTATCTTATGTTCCAAAGGTGGGGCCAGCACGATTCCGGGCCCCCGAACTGCTGTTCCAGCCAGACCTGGTAGGGGATGAGAGCGAGGGACTCCACGAGGTACTGGCCTTTGCCATCCACAAGTCTGACCTGGACCTCCGCCGGACACTGTTTGCCAACATCGTGCTTTCAGGCGGTTCTACGCTGTTCAAAGGTGCCCTGGTTGGGGGGGGGGGAGTCCTGGGCGCCAGGGGCAGTTGGACCTTCATCGGCATCCCACTCCTTGGAGCCTGGGATGGGACCCATATTCTGTTGGCTTTTCGGAGTTCATTGAGCAATTTTTTCTTAAAAGAGTAAGATTCAAATTACATTTATTTACTTTGTAAGTAGGTGATAAGTTTATATGAGATCTATAGTGTGTTAGATGAAGTGTCTGTTCCCTGTTGTCCTGGTCACTCCTTCCTTCTGCACAGGATTGGCTGGTGTCTCAGGCAACTCTTGGCTACCTCCCTGTAAACAAATGTGTATGACCCCCCCACACACACACACACAAACTGCATGTTCCACAAGTCCCAACCACGTGTGGCTCACTTAGCATCTTAACTGGAAGGTCTTTTCCTACCCATGTAAGTTCTATCTGGCTGTGTGGTATTTGACTGGACGGATGTGCCACGTAGCCATCATCCTACTGATGGTCTTTGAGCGTGTAGCAGTCATTTCCGATCAGAGATGGTCAGTGGGTACTCTCCTGCACTGTCATTTCATGTGGTGAGAATGTCCTAAAGGGTAAATCCTACAGTGGAACAGGTGGGTCAGGGTGGGTATGCCTTTGTTATTGGGTGGGTGCTCCCTCCTGGGAGCTTATGCCCACTGCCTGTCCCACACTGCGTGTGATCTCTGCCCATCTGAGGGCAGAACGGTAGATGTTTTCTCCTGATGTGTCATTTATTTGCCTTTGACTTTGCTTCTGGCGAGTTTTGGCTGCTGGAGCATTGGGTAAGGAAGATTGTGGGGGAGGCCAGCAGAGCCAAGTGATTTGGGCTTCCATCTCATGTCACCTCTCTTTGGAAGCTAGATCGCCTGCAGGCCAGGGGCTGAGTCTTTCCTGCCCTTGGAGTGGCATGTGCCTACCCTTAATGCTGGAAAGAACTGTTGAAGGAAGGGTGGCAGCTGGGTCAGGGCACCAGGTTGGATATGGGGAACTAGTGGTAAGGGGGCTTGATGTGGACCCTAGGCTAGCCAGCCTTGTGTTCACAGGCTTTGGCGATCGATTACTAAGTGAAGTGAAGAAGCTTGCCCCAAAGGATGTCAAAATCAAGGTGAGGTTGTGGAGAGTGCCTGTGGGGCATGGGGGTGCTGGGCAGCCTGACCTGGGAGGAGGCACATGCTGCCTTGAGAGGCCCTCATTTCCAGCCCAGCCCAGCCGCTCCTCCCACTCACCTTCTCCCCCTGCTCCCTGCTGATGCACTTGCTGTCTGGCCTCAGGCCCGGTGGGAATCACCCTCAAGGCTGGGATGGGCGGGGGCTGCTGGGTGGAGACAGGCAGTTACTTTGTCGCTTGTTCCCTCTAGATCTCGGCTCCGCAGGAACGGCTGTACTCCACATGGATTGGGTGAGGCAGGGCTCACGGGGAGGGCTCTGGGAGGAAACCATTTTGCCTGGACACTTTTCCCAGGGTTAGCCCAGACCAGGTGGAGGTGGGTGGATTTCCCTCCCAGGTGAGGTAAACAGATCTTAGTGTCCAGGGAGGGTGGCTGTCCACAAGAACACTGTCCCTCTCTCCTCACAGTGGCTCCATCCTGGCCTCGCTGGACACTTTTAAGAAGATGTGGGTCTCTAAGAAAGAGTACGAAGAGGATGGTGCTCGTGCTATTCATCGTAAAACCTTCTAGTGTCCAAGGAGGAGGGGCAGCATGTTGGGAGAATGGGAGGAAAAGGGAAGCCAAAGTCCTTGACCCTTTCTGGCCTGGGCTCACGACCAGGTGCAGGGTCCCCTGCACGCCCTGACCCCCAGGCAAGCGGTGCACAGCGCTTCTCCGCAGCCCTCTCCTCCGCGCACGCGCAGTGTTTAGCTGTATGGGTGGGGCCTTGAGCTGGAGTTGAGGAACCCAGCCTTTGGTGGTGCTGGGTGTTCCCCTTGCCAGGACCAATTAAGCCTATGGTTCCTGGCTCTAACCCTTGGGGCTGCTTCCCTGAGCTCCAAGGACAGATATCCAAATACCCCCATTTCCTCTGATAGGATCCCTTCCAGGGCCAGGGTGCCGGGATGCCCGTAACTATCCTTGGGGAGTGGGGTAGAGGAGGGGTCAGCTAGCAGCTCCCCACTGGTGTGTTGTTTCTTGTGCCACCTCCCCTTCCTGACCTGACAGGGTAACAGAGGGCCAGCCATTCCTGGGCATCCCTGACCTCCACACTCTGCCTCCCTATTATCCTGAGTAGATGCCTTGGTGCAACCCAGTGAGGGGTTCAGGCCCAGGGTTGGACTCTATGGAGCCAGGGCAGAGTATGCAGGGGATTTGGGCAGCTACCGTCTGTTGGGTTCTCCCCTTCAAAGCACTTCATTTACCTTCTCCTTTACCGTAGTACCCTGGATGGGGAAGGGTTAATGGTCTTCATTTGTTGAGGGCAAGCCAATTATTCAGGAGTCAGACCCAGAGGGATGAGGGGGCACAAATCTCCCATGACGGAGGTCTTCATTACCCTGGGCCAGGACCCCCCACCTCCCCTTCCCAGATATGTATAATAATTTAACACAGTTGCCTGAACAATTTTTTTGTAAATCATTATAGTAATGATTATGGACAAGGCCCAGTGTGTGGCTGTTTTCTTGAGGTTCTCTTGCTGTTGTTTGCTCACCCATCCCTGGGGACTTGGAGAGAGAGGACGGGCACGAACTCAGTATGGCACTGGCTCTCGTTCAGAAGCCTGAGGGTTTCCATGGTTGGTGGGGCAACGTGGCACGAGAGGCCCCAAGAGGCTGGGCTCGCAATCTGCTGGCAGAATTCCCCAGCCTCATTACCCACTTGTAGCAGGCCTCCAGGAGAAGCTGAGAACAAGGCACCTTCCTCCACCTTATTCCTGGGCAGGGCCTCCTGGCAGGTGGGGCTCGCCCTTGGTGCCTTTGTACCCTTACCTGTTTGAACACCTCTGTTGGCCTACTTACGTGTGGCCAAAGCTGACAGATCACCAATAATGCAGACTTGGTTCAGACAAGTCAGGAAGGAGAGTGACGGGGGTGACGGCAGAGGTTGTGTCGATGAGCTGGGCTCTGAAGGCAAAAGCTGAGGGAAAGGGCAGTGAGAAATGAGTCCAGAGTGTCTGCCCTTTCCTTTCAGCGAGTATTTGAACACCTCCAGCATGTCCAGGAGGGTGCCATGTTTGGGGTCAGTCGTAAACATGTCTTTGCCCCAAAAAACATAGGTTGGGAATAACAGGCCATTTCAGTACAGCGGTGTGGGAGCAAAGGAGGGGCATCTAATCCAGCAGGTGGGGCAGGCTGACTTGCACTGCTGGTCCAGTAGTTAACCAGGTATGAAAGGGTGTTCAGGCAGAGGTAAGAGCTCAAGGAGACTCCTGGGACAGGTGGGACTGGACAGAAAGGCATGCACCCGAGTGATACCAAGTCTGCAGGGAAGGGAAAGTAGCCTCTAGCTAGAATGCAAGATATATCAGAAAGGTAGGTTGGGGCCAGCATGTGGAGGGCTTTGTGGATATTTAGCTGTGTCCTGGGTGATGGGCAGCCTGCCAGGGGAGGATGGTTATAGCTGTGTGGTGAAGGCAATGGAGTTAGTGTTGCTGAGGGAGGGCCCAGAACTGAGATCCAGTAGAAGAGGAGAAATTACTCTATCCAGCCTGACCTCACAGGGTATCTTGTGAGGCTTTGTGGTCAGACAGCAGTTAAGCCCATACCCACCCTCAAGGGGAAAATGGAATTTACAGAGAGCCCTTTGTTGGAGGTTGTGTTCATGTACCACTTTCTCCCAGCCATACAAATTGGAGCCCTATTACTTTGAGTCCTCCCTCTTCCTTACCTACTTCACATGCTTGTCAGTTACTAAGTTCTGTAGTACCTTTACTACCCATCGTTTCTTTCCCATGAGGCCACTACCACCATGGCTCAAGACCACAGCTCCATTTTCCCCAGTGATCCATTTGCTTTTGGATCTAAAGCCCAGATAGCCTTGGTTCTGCCACTTCCTAATCCCAAATGTCAAACAGTTCTCTACTGCCTGGTGAAATTACCTTCGTGAACTACCCATTGTTACATTTAATTCAGGCTCTTTAGGATTGTCCCTTCCACATCATCACACCCTGCTTTGCCTGCCAACCTCTACTCCTGCTGTTCTGAGCTGAGAATGACTTCCCCATATGTCTGTCAAAGTCCATCCTTCCTTCCTCTTTCGGCAGGGATGGTGTGGTTGGCACTCTGGCCCTGTCAGGTTTCTCACTGCTGGAGCAGCTACAGATGAGAAGCTGATAAGGCTAGAATGAACCTTATGGTGTTGGGATTGGGGGGTAGACTCCTATATACATACAACTATATACATACAACTATATACATGCAATTACTGAAATAAATATGCACCTATGTGTGAGTACTAGGGTTAGAAATATTTGTATATTTCCTAGACCTGTCTGCTCAGAGGGCCTAGTCAGTGACACCCCAGTAGCAATGAGCACAGAGTCCAGATATTAGTTTCTAAATACCATTCTCCAATAAAAGGAATCAGAGCTCCTTGGAGAAATAATGATCTGAGGCAGAGAGAATATAAAATGAGCCTGAAATATCTTGTGGTACCATAAAGTAAGGACATGCTTGAAAAAGGAAGGAGGCATGTTTAAAGGACACAGGAACCAACCTGAAGGAGCACCCAGTGGTCACACCTGCAATGAATTATAAGCTGTAGAATACAATAGTGATGAGTCCACTTTGACAGATAATATATATGGGGGGGGGGGGGTAGCGATAGTTCCTCCTTACAGTAAAATTCCAATAAATGTTTACTGATCTATTGGTGCCATAAAGAAATCAGCACACAGTGGTTTAAAGCAACATAAACACAGTTTTATAGAAGTCTGACATAGCCCTAGCCAGGTAGGATAGTTGATTAGTATCATCCCGATACACCAAGTTTGTGACTTCAATCCCAGGTCAGGGCATCAACCAATAAATGCATAAATAAGTGAAACAACAAATCAATGTTTCTCTCTCTCTCTCAAATCAATAACTTAAGTCTGACATGAGTCTCACTTAGGCTGAAATCAAGGTGTCAGCAGGGCTGCTACCTGAGGACTACAGGATTATTTCCTTTCCCAGCTTCTAGAAGTCACCTTCCATCTTCAAACCAGCAACATCACATCTCTCTGATCATTCTTTCAGTCACATCCTCCTCTGACTTCTGTCGCCCTTGGGCCACCTAGATAACCAGGATAATCTATTTTAAGGTCAGGTGATTAAGCAACCTTCATTCCATCTGCCACCTTAATAACCTTTCACTATAGGACCTAACATATTTAGTTTCTGGGCATAAGGACATGCACGTGTTGTGGGGTGAGGAGAGGCCTTTACTCTGCCTACCACAACCTGGAGATGTATTGGAGATTTTTGTGGTTTTTTGTTACTCCTCACCCACGGACTTTCCCATTTTTTTTTAGAGAGTGGGAGGAAAGGAGGGAGAAGTACTGATGTGATCTCGAGAGACAAATTGATTTGGTTGCCTCTCACACTACCCTGATCAGGGCCGGGGATCAAACCTGCAACCCAGGTATATGCCCTTGACCAGAATCCAACCCTTGACCCTTTGATCCTCTGGCTGATGCTCTAACACAAGCCAAAGTGGCCTGGCTGAAGATTTTTCTTTATTTAGAGAGGATAAAGAAGCAAAATGGGCTTGGAGATGAGAGAGGGAGCAGACAGATCAGATTAATGACATAGAAAGTAATTTAAGGTGGGAGTGGTAGGGGTAGGTTTAACAGATGGCTACCTAGGTACCCCACAGGGAGGAACCTTGAATGGCAGATACATGCTGGGCATTTCCTGGAAATGAGATAATGACTGACAAAGAATGGAAGCAGCAGTTTTGACCATACCTTTAGGAGACAAAACAAACTTAAGGAAAAGGGGCTTTTCTCTTTGGCTCTTAACAGTTCAAGTGAGCCCTGGCCAGTTTGGCTCAGAGCGTCAGCCTGCGGTCTGGAGAGACCCGGGTTTGATTCCTGCTAGGGGCACGTACCTCAGTTGCAGTTTGTCCCCGGCCCTGGTTGGGTCGTGTGGGTGGCAACCACTCGATGTGTCCCTTTCACGTCAATGTTTCTCTCTCTGTCTCTTCCTCTCTCTCCCTCCCACTCTATCTGAACAACAACAACAACAAAAAAAACCAAAAAAGTGTCCTCGGGTGAGGATAAAAAAAAACAAACAGTTCAAGTGAAAGATCTAGTTTGAATCAATTTTGTGGAGACGGTAACTAAAACTAACCCCAACACAAAATGGAAAGGTATAAAGTGGCTAAATTGGGCTGTTTCTCTTCTCAACTATTTTTTTGGTGCTGTTTTATTATGACAAAGTTTAAACATACACAAAAGCAGAGAGAACAATGACCCCCTCATGTACCTACCTGGCTACAAGACATCAATTACACCCTAAACCACTTCTCAGTTTCAAAGCTAATCCCAGGCCTATTTTACTTCTAAGTGTCTCAGTATGTCTGTATCTCTAAAGAATAAAAAATTTAACTCTGTTAACACCTAAAAATGTAGTTAAGTCCTCATTCAGGATTCAAATTATTCTAATTTATTTTCTACAGTTGGTTTTTCAAATCAAGATCCAAACAAGGTTCTCCACTGCTCTTGCTTGCTCTCTCCCTCATATCCATTTCATTCTATAGGTTCTCCCTCTTCTTTTCCCTCCTTGCAATGTACTTGTTGACAAAACCCAGTCATTGGTTTCTGGAATTTCCTATCTTCTGGATTTTACTGATTGTATCCCCATTAACTGAGCTTTGAACCTCGGTCCCTCAAGACTTCAAAGCTCTCCAAAATCTCCTTGTAAATTCACCCTGTCTTTGTAACAATACTCTGAGGACCTACCATCTGCCAGGCTCTGTGTATGTTGTTATTACTTCTGACACCTCACAAGGTATTTATCTTTTTTTGTAGATACAACATACCCTGAGAGAACATGTCCCCACTGACAAAGTTAAATGACAGAACCAATATTACAAGCCCAGTCAGCCTGACTTCACAGCACATGCTTTCCCTCATACCAGGTAGTCCCAATCATGGCATTATGGGATTGTCAATTTCAGTGTACAGGAGTGGATGGCAAGCTAATAGTAATAGATAGCTAGTCCCCATATAAGAATTACCCATCTCTCTTCTCCAAAAACACAGGAAAAAAATAAGATCAGCCAACTGTAGGAGGAGCCAAAGCAATGGCTAGTCTTCATTAGAAACAAACTTTACAGCACATTTTGAGTTAGTGCACGGGCTCAGTGGGCCAACTGGTGGGGCACCAGCTTATAATGGGTTCCACAGCTAGGGCATCGCTGGGTCTCGCCTTTGTGCAGCCAGAACCAGATGACAGCACTGTTGTCTTCTTCACCTAAAAGGAAAAAGTGGTTGAAGGCCATCTGGTCTAGAAGAGAGGACACTTTCAAGTTGAATCTCTTTTCCTCAGACACCTCTGAGACACAAAGTTATGGCTGATATCTTAAGAGATATGTTCCAACTATCCTCCCCATTTTTCAGATGAAGAAACTGAGGCCCTGAGTTTACCTGTGAGTAAATGGACCATATATCAGAGTCAATATAGATTTTAACAGTTCCCTTGCCTATGAAGAATCCTGAAGCAGGGTCATTCTGATATGTAACCCTAGTGCCCAAAATGGTGTCTGGCAGCCCTGGCCGGTTTAGCTCAGCGGTTAGAGCATTGGCCTGCGGACCAGAGAGTCCTGGGTTCAGTTCCCGCTAAGGGCACGTACCTCGGTTGCGGTTTGTCCCCAGCCCCAGTTGGGGTTGTGTGGGTGGCAACCAGTCAATGTGTCTTTCTCACATCGATGCTTCTCTCTCTCTCTCTTTCCCCCCTCTCCCTCCCACTCTATCTGAAGAGAAATGCAAAAATGTCCTCGGGTGAGGATAAAAAAAATTAAAAAATAAAATGGTGTCTGGCAAAGAAGTACAATAAGTATTTTCTGGATGAATACTACTACATATTTCATCTTCAGTGAGCCAGTATTAGATGTTCTATGCCTCTTGATAATAAGGATGACCTACAAAGGCATTATGAGGCTTGAGAGGACCAGGACCCTTAGAACAACTTACTTACAAACATATCCTCTGTATACACATGCACTCACACAAAAATTTGAAGCAGCTTACAGACATCCTGGAGAGTAGGGTATGTTAAAGAAATGAGTAAGAAAATAGTGGTGAGGTACTTACAGATGCAGCCCACTATTCGCTTGTTGGTGATGGAGGGGACCAAATTGGGGTCTTCCTTGGTGCCTGAAGCTGCCTTTGGGGCTAGCATATTGTATGGATCCTAAAAAAATAACAAAAAAACAAGAATTGAACTATTATACCAGAGGATCCCTACTCTCCAGGGACTAGCATTACTATTCCCACAGCCAGGTTTCCTGGATGAAATGCCTCCAGAGAGGCGAATGCTCTGGTCCCATCCAAGGAAGTTTCTGCTCACCAGTCCCTTCCGTGCAGCCAACATGACCTCCCGCTCCAGCCCAGTCGCCTGGTCATCATCAGTAGGAACACCACCTAAAGGAAGATAAAGATACGTGAATTCTGATGTCTGAAATAATCAAGGCAGAAAATGCATCCAGTTTAAGTGGGTTCCCAAGCTCCTAAACGGTACCCATATCCACTGTCCCCTAAGGACCAGGGTCAAGATCTCCCAAAGTGACAGCACCGGGGAAATCCAACTACCAAAGGCCAATTTTTTGACACATTTTTCTTAAAAGCAGGTAGATCAGAGACCTACCAGGGTTCATCCAATTTACAGTGCGCGCAGGTCTGAAGGGAGGTTTAGCCCCTCCCCATCGCGCTTGCAATACCTACCCCCCAAGGTCACCCAGCACCTCCATTTGGGATTCTTTCGCAGCAGGGTCAACTAGGTGGGCTGCTGCAGCGGCAGCTGGGAATAACAGGGAAATGCCTGCGGTGGAGCGTGAGGCCGCAGGGCTGGGGCCGAGGAGCTGAAAGGCCTGCCCCGCTGTGCTGCGCTAGTACCCCCAACCCCGGGAAGGCCGTAGCGCCGCTCCTTGGCGCCTCCGGCTAGTCGAGTACCTCCAGACGCCATGGAGCGCACCGCGGCCGCCCCAGTGGGACCGCGGGCCCTCAGGGCCTGCGCGACCAGCGCTCCAGCTCCGCGAAGTAACCTTGAAGCCATCACGCCCGCTACAACTGCAGCACTTCCGTGACAGGCTCCGGAGATAGGCGGGACTTCCGGGGAGCGCTGCTTTCGTCTGGGCGTCAGCTGTCTGCTTCCGCCGGCCCCGCTTCCGCCCGTCCCGCGTCTGACCCTTCCTGTAAACGCCCGGAGACGGAAAAGAATGCGCATGCCCAGTGCTGTCTCGCGTTTCCCGGTTACGCCACCGCGGATTCGTGGGATTCATCACGGTGTTGGCTCTGGATGGCGGGCTTCGCCTTTCATTAACGCCGGGAGTTGGGGCAGCTCCTTTTGCGACGCGGGACCTCGTGTCTTCATCGCGGAGTGCGGCAGCCACACTGGCGTTCCTGTGCCGGTTGCTTGGTAGTTGTGCTCCTCACGGAGGCTGCAGTGAGAAGTAAAGCCTGCCTCTCTCTGTCAAGAGACTTGCTGGATCCCAAATGCTTTCAATTCAGGAGTGGGCCCGTTGGTGTGGCTCAATGGTTGAGCGTGAACCCCTGCACCGAGAAGTCACTGGTTAGGTCACTGGTTGGATCCCCGGTAGGGGGCACGCAGGAGGCAGCGGATCTCTGTTGTGTTGTTTCTCTCTCATCCGTGTTTCTCTCTCCCTCTCTCTAAAAAGCAATAAAAACATAAAATAAATTTAGGAGTGGGCTCCTAAAGACCCTTTGTTCACTGTTGTGCTTGTTTATTGTGATGCTGGTTCTGGCAGTGTGGGAGCCATCGCAGATTGGCTGCGTTGGCCTAGCCTACAAGAACTGGGGCAGAAAGGACCTTCCCGCAGTGCCGACCTCAGGCTGCTGTCACAGTGGTGTTGAGTGATGAAGTCAACAAGTGGTGAGGGGCAGGAGGGTAAGGCCAGATTTCGGACCCCTTCCAGGACCAAGGCCTTTGGTGATGGGTGAAAGGGCGGCCACACTGGGAGGTTATCAGTCAAGGAAGAGGTTAAGGAAGGGGTAGCAGGAAGGGGAGTTGATAATGAGAAATGGAGTCACAGAACCTTTTGTGGACACAGTTTTCTCTAAAACCGAACACATCTTCCATAGCCCCCATGACCTACAAGCTTAGGTGTGCAGGCTTCTTAGCATGGTGGGCATTCAACACTGCCAGCCATCGGCTCCTAGGACGTTGTTCACATTGTCAGTGTAGCCCTGTCGCAGTCTGGCTCCATGCGATAACTGTGTTTTCTTGCCAGATAGAAAATCCCTTCAGAGCAAGAATTATGCTCTGTTCCTCTTTGAAATCCCCGGTGCCTTGCAGAGGCCATGTATATAAGAGGGTCAAGTAAATTTTAGAGTATTGACTGCTTGGAGAGAATAAACAATCTGTTTTGTAGGGCTTCTGGAGTGTGGTAGTTAATTTGAGGCAAATTGGGGAGGGTTGAAGTCCCAAGTGTTCCCGCCTGTCTCCTGCAGATTATGATATTTTCAAAAGGACTTGGTGGAGCATTCCTTCACAGGAGCACATCTGGTCTTGGTTAGTGTCCCCTCCACCAAGAAAAAAATGAACACTATTCTGAGGCCAAAAATCTCTTGATCATCTAAAGCTGGATTTTGCTTTGAATTATTTCACTGTTACTCCCTTCTCCTTCACTTCCACTGTAATCCCTCAACATTAAATTGTAATTTCTCCCCTTAAATCGTAGGAATGATCCCCAAGAATCTATAGTTGATTTGTACCTGTGGTTAGATGTTTAGTGAGGGGAAAAAAGCCTTGGTCTGGAAGACAGGTGTTCTGGGATGGAACCCTACCAGACAGCTCAGCCAGTCACTTTTTGTTTTGGCCACCATTTCCTCATCAGTAAAACTATGATTAGACTAGATTAGTATTTCCAAAAGTGTATACCATGGAATATCCGGCTCAAGGGGTGCTCTTAGCAAAAAGGACTTGCAGGGCACCCTCTGCATTTGATGACCACCCTCTTGGAGATGCTCACTGTAGTATGGTAAAGGCTCTGATTAGGACTGCAGAAAAGAATCCTGTTTAACTTACCTATGGTTTAAGCCAGAGTTTTCCCATCTAAATTGATCACAAAACTCTCAAGAAACCTACTAACCTACCTCTCAGCAGACCAGTGAGAGATTGCGGTTATCTAATTGATTTGCAGAGACTCTATGGATGTTAGGGAGATTATAGGAAGTCCTTTCCATGGGCCAAAGCTGGTCGCTATTCAAGAATGAGTAAAACTTGGTCTCTACCTTCAATCTATCACAAGAAAGTGGGGTAGAGGAGGTTGTTCGTGGTTTGAGCAGAGTTCACACAAGTCTGAAGCAATGGGGTCAAAAAAAAAGGACTTAATCTGTCTTTCTGTTGCTGGAAGAAGCTGCCCTGAGCTCTGATGACCACAAGGCTCTGACCATTTACAATGGCACTTGTAGGGGCAGTTTTTATTATAACAGTGGTGGGGAGACCTTTGCTGTGTGTAGGCCTATCCAGGTTCTTCATCAGTCAAGGATAGTCCAGATTCAAGAATCCCCTAGGGAGGCCTGAGGAAGATGTGACAAAGTGGCTCAACCTCCAGCAGGCTGCTGGGTGCTAGAACCCTTCTGGCCGAAAAGCCAGGTCAAACCAAACCAAACATTTTTGTGCAGATGCCACAATCCAAAATGGGTCACTTGAAAGTGCTGTCATTGTGGGGTCTGGGAAGGGAGACGCTACTTTATACCCACATATAGTGGAAGCTATAAATGAATAAAATAATTGAAAGTGTCACTCCAGGCTGGCCTTTGGAAGAATGAGCAGCTACTTACAGGATAACTTGGGAAGAAGTAAAGCCAACTTGCCTGAAGCTCCTCTCCTCTGAGTCAGTGCCATCATCAGGGTCATATTCAAAGAACTCTTGGAAACATAGCTTTTCCCTCTCCCATTGTATTAAGAAATAATGACGTACATCAATGTATAATTTTATGGCATAAAGCATGATGGTTTAATTTACATTTATTGTGAAATAATTACCACATAGATTCAGCTAACATCCACCTCCTCATCTAGATACAATACGAAATTAAGGAAAAATAAAGGAAAAAAAATTTTTCTCCTTGTGATGAGAACTCTTCAAATTTACTTTAACAATTTTCCTGTGCATCATACAACAGTGTTACCTACAGTCATTTTGTACATCATTTCCCTAGTACTTATTTATCTTATAACTGGAACTTTGGACCACCTTCCTCCAATTCCCACCCCCCACCTTTGATAACCACAATTCTGTGCTTTTTCTATGAAGGTGGGTTTTTAGATTCCACATATAATTATTTTATTTTCTCTGTCTGACTTATTTCACTTAGCATACCTTCAAGGTCCATCCATGTTGTTGTTTTTATTTTTTTAGTATTTCTTTTGTTGTTGTTGTTAATCCTTACCCAAGGATATTTTTCCATTGGTTTTTAAAGAGACTAGGGGGGAGAGAGAGAGAAACATCAATGTGAAAGAGACACATTGATTGGTTGCCTCCCACATGACCTTGACTAAGACCAGAGATCCTGCAACCCAGGTATGTGCCCTTGACAGGGAATCGAACCTGCAACCTTTCAGTGCGCAGGTTTACACTCTAACAGCTTAGCCAAACAGGCCAGGGCCATTTGCCCATTTTAAAAATTGCGTTATTCGTTTTTTGGCCATTGAGTTCTTTATATGTTTATCTGATATATGGTTTGCAAATATTTTTCCCAGTCCATAGGTTGTCATTTCACTTCGTTGATGGTTTCTTTTGCTGTGCACAAGCCTTTTAGTTTGAGGTAGTCCCACTTGTTTATTGTTTCTATTGTTTCTTGTGCTTTAAGTGCCATATTTTTAAAACCATTACCAAGACCCATGTCAAGGAGCTCTGTTCTATGTTTTCTTGGAGATTCATGGTTTCGGGTCTCACATTTAAGTCTTTAATCCATTTTGAGTTAATTTTTGTTAGTGGTATAAGATACAGGTCCAATTTCTTTTCTTTTTTCTATCCTCACCTGAGGATATGTTATTATTGGTTTTAGAGAGAGAGAAAAAGAGGGAGGAGGGAGGAAGGGAGAGAAAGAAACACAGATGTGAGAAACATCAATCAGTTGCCACTGGTACGCCCCCCAACTGGGGATGGAACCTGCAAACAAGGTATGTGCCCTGACCGGAAATAGAACCCGCAACATTTTTGGTATGTGGGATTCACTTGAGCCACCTGGCCAGGGCAGTCTAGCTTCATTTGTTTTTTACATGTGAATATCCAATTATTCCAGCACCATTTATTGAAGAGATTGTCTTTTGTACATTGAGTATTCCTTGTGTCCTTGTCAAATATTAGTTGATCACATATGCTTCGGTTTATTTCTGGGTTCTCAATTCTGTTCCATTGGTCTATTCGTTTTTATGCTGGTATCATATTGTTTTGGTGACTATAACTTTATAGTGAAGATTGAAATCAGGCTATTACAAGTGTGATGCCTCCTGCCTTTTTATTTTCTCAGGCTTTCTTTGGCTATTCAGGGTCTTTTGTGGTTCTATATAAATTTTAGGGGTGTTTTCCTACTTCTGTAAAAAAAAAAAAAATACCATTAGAATTTTGATAGGGATTGTATTGAATCTAAAGATGGCTTTCAGCCCTGGCCGGTTTGGCTCAGTGGTTAGAGCGTCGGCCTGTGGTCCTGAGAGACCCGGTTCAGTTCCCACTAAGGGCGCGTACCTCGGTTGCAGTTTGTCCCCGGCCCTGGTCGGTTGTGCGGGTGGCAGCCACTCGATGTGTTCCTTTCGCATCGATGTTTCTCTCTCTCTCTGTTCCTCTCTCTCCCTCCCACTCTACCTGAACAAAGAATGGAAAAATGTCCTCGGGTGAAGATTAAAATAAATAAATAAATAAAATAATTAAGATGGCTTTCAGTAGTATCGACATTTTAATAATATTCTTTCAATCCATGAACCCCGGGATATACTTTTCATTTATTTCTGTCTCCTTTAGTTTCTTTCATCAATGTAGTTTTCAGCATAGAGATATTTTACCTCCTCAGTTAAATTATCCCTAAGTATTTTATTATTCTTGGTGTTATTTAAATGGGATCAATTTCTTTT